CCCCTAATCTTAAGGATATTTGAGAAAATGTTTGGAAGTTAGAGGTCCCTGACATTCAGGGACTTCCTGACATGAGCCACAATGGCCATTGAATGATGCAAGGAGGGCTTCTTTCTCCAGTATATGCCTTCTAGGAATAACATGAGGGAAGAAGGCAGCCTGGCTTGGAACCTCCAGAATAAAAGTAGAAAGAGGGTAAATAAATATCTCTTGGGACAAAAAGTACAGAATCTAGGAAAGATGGTTCAGCATTACTAGATAAAAGGGAAATGTGGGACTTAGGGTAAGAGACAGTTGTGGCATTTTTCAAAAGCAAACAGCAATATAAATAAAAGTCAAACATTTCATAATTTCTGGTATGAGAAGTTTAAATACAAGTTGGTAAAGTTTTCTTAACTTGTTTAGAATCAGATAAAGCTGACTCTGCTAGATCCATGACTTGAAGTTGGCTTAATACAAGCCTCAGATCAACAACTGTCAGCATTTTTATACTTTAAAAGGTCAATCATTGGGGTGCCTGGGTGACTCAGTTGGTTAAGTGTCTGCCTTTGGCTGAGGTCACAATCCCGGGGTCCTGGAGAGCCTGCTTCTCCCTCTCCCTCTGCAACACCCCTCCCCCCTGCCGCCCCCGGCTCATGCCCTCTCTCTCAAATAAATAAATAAAATCTTAAAAAAAAAAAAGGTTAAGCATTCATATCTGATCCTTTAAAATTGTAGCAAGCCTCAAGGAGACTTTGATTCACAATGTAATGGATCTACTCTTAGAACATTTGCATGACTCATGATGTTCTTTCTGTTTTTGAAGATTTTGCAAAACAGTAGATTCCCCTTCACAAATTGCAATCTATTTCCTGCTTCTTTCGTGTGTGGTACACTGTGAGCTGCCTCTCTGTGTCTCGTGGTGTGATACTCTCTTTCTTCCACCTTCACCTAGCATGGGCTCAAAATCACAACAGTGTCGCTGGACTACAAGTAACTGCTGAGTAAATTTTCCTGTGAATTCCTGCCTTTTTAGTTTATTTCTGTACAGCCATTTTGAATGGGTACGGAAAGTAACATCTACCTAATAACAATTAATGCCTTGTCTACACCTCCCATTACCGTAGTGACCGCTCTTTGTGCGGAAAAGAGAACATTTTTATTTTGATGCTGTTCTTGTTTACAGATACAACTCTTACATGGACACGAAATGTATCCCTGTGTTAAAATCAACCGTTATTTTTAAGATCGCCCTGCTTGCTTTATTTTAGGTAGTATATGAAATTGATCCTGAAATCCACCTAGACTGTAAAAGGGCTACAGGGAATATAGAAAGAAACCTGCTTCTAGGTAAAGAGGCAGGAGGTGTGGTGCAAGAAGAGAGCATTGGTCTTAACTCGTCTCTGTTAATGGGATGGAAAATATGCTGAACTTGACAATCCCAGTGTGGGACCATCAGCAACTGTCTTCACCGCTGTGAATCTCAACTTTGTTGCCTAGAAAACGGAGATAATACCCCGTTATCTGGAAGATGGGGATGATGTCTACCTCACCTCTTTCTTAGGGATGTTGATAGGGCTAAATAAGCCAATAGGTGAGAAAGTGCTGTGCAAACTGAAAAGTGCAGTCCAAACATCAGATTCCACGGTGGTAACTTTTACTAGGTAGGAAGACTAAGCAGTAGACTCCGTGCAAAGAGCTTCAATGTGACCGCTCTTTCCTTCTTTGGAAATATCTCCTCAAACTGCATCTGACTCATATATGTTTATACTCTTCGAAGCTCTTTGATTTAGAGCTGGAACCACTTCATTGTAAATATGTAGCACTATGTGTACATCACCCTCGGGGCCAGTGTCCAGCTCACTGTAGAAAAGCCTTTCGTTCAGGGGAAGAAAGACTGGAGGCCAGTCTTAGTGATTGCTCATGCGTTAGTGACAAGACCAGTAGCCCAGAGCCGACACTCACTAGCACCTACACAAGGTTCTCTTGTAACCAGCATTAAATTATGTCATGAAACCTTTTAAAATTAATCAAAATTAACATCTTCTCTTTTGTTTTACCTTTTCTTTTTGAAAGCCACTTACGATGTTTTCTCAAGCCCTGCGACATCAGATGAACCTGAAATGTCAGAACCCCACACAGGTACATCCAGCTTCTCAAGGCTTTCTTTGGATGCCAGATAATTCTGACAGCACTGCACCTGCTTCTCGCTTTGATCTTTGCAGAGTGAGAAAGCACAGCCTTTAGAGCTCTGCAGGAGGGAAATGGTTGTCTGTGTCAGGGAGATGAATTCCACCCATTTCTCTCTGTTGAGCGGTTATTTCTTTATATCCATCAGTAATAATCTCTGCCACATGTGGGAGATGCCGATAGATTTGGTTGCCACCGAGCCAAAGTCATGTAATGGCCTATTGCTCTATTATCAATAGCATTCTAAGAAGTTTTAGGTTCTTAGAGAGTTTTCTGTAGAGCAGTGGTTCTCAAATGGGGATGACTTTTCTCTAGGCGTTTGGCAATGCCTAGAGACGTTTTCGATTGTCACAACCGGGGAAGATGGTAATGACAGCAAGTGGGTAGAGACCAGGAATACTGCCAAACCCCTGCAAATATACAGGACAGCCCCTCTCCCCCCACCCAACAAGGAATGATCCAGCCCTAAATGGCAGTGGTGCTGAGGTGAAAAATCCTGCCCGAGAGCAATCATGTCATTCATTTGTCTGTTGAGGTCCAGTTGGGTCTAATCTTGGACATTCACTCACTGATCCTTCTACAAATGAGTTTAACTCAATCTAATAGTTCCTTTTAGCAAGGATTTATTAAGCACCTACTAAACTAGGTACTGTGAGAGATTCAGAGTAAATATGGCTGGTCTCTGCGAGACGTAGATATATATCTGATATTTTTTGTATACTTAGCCTTATCTCAGCATTATTTGTGCCATGATAAAGGCAAATAATTTTATTTTATTTTATTTTTTTTTTAAGATTTTATTTATTTATTCATAAGAGACAGAGAGAGAGAGAGGCAGAGGGAGAAGCAGGCTTCCCACGGATTGCGGAGCCCGATGAGGGGCTCGATCCCAGGACCCTGGGACCATGACCTGAGCCGAAGGCAGACGCTTAACGACTGAGCCACCCAGGAGCCCCTAATCTGTGAACTATAGAGTCAGACAAAGCTGGGCTAATAACCAACTCAACTATTTAGCAGTTATGTGATGTAGACAAGTGATTTAACCTCTTAGAGCCTCAGTTTCCCCACCTATAAAATGGAAATAATATATTATTTATAATATATAGTATAACAACAAATTACTAAAAGAAAGGAAGGAAGAAGGAAGAGAGAAAATAAAAAAACTAAGCTCACATATATATAAGCATCTCAAATGATTCTTGGGTCTTCATTTGACTTGTTTAAACATTTTTTTACGAAGAATGGAAAGGGTATGTACATTGTTATTTAAAGAGACTCTGCCCCCCCATGGAATGGTCTGATGTCCTATTCACCCCATGGCACGAATGTATCACACAGCCACACTTTGGAGTTAGAGTGGCAGCCTTAATCATTCTATAAACTCTGAGACCCTTTCTAGGCTCAGGGAGTAAAATGATGCATGACCAATGGGCTGTGTTTTTCCATGGGCATCAGAGGAGGGAGAAGCAGCATAAATGCTGTGTCTATATCATCCCACAGCTGGGGCACATGCATGATTTCTAAGTCCCTTTATATCATGGGGGGGATGGAAATCAGCATTTTGTTTCTGGCCTCATAATGTCATCAGTGTTAAGCCTCCTTAACTTCCTTGATCATCCCCTTAAAAAGACCATCACTCAGTCCCAGGAAAGATTTAAAGCCCAATTCAAACAAAGAAAATGGTTTCTTTTTATAACCCACGATGATTCAACATGTTTACTTTCATCCTTAGAAAACTCTCCTGCTTGTTCTTTCCCCAGTGTGTCCAGAATAACTGATTTTTCCCTCCAAATGTACTGTGACTTATTACTAAGATGACTCCTTCTTCTGACATAATTCCTTCCCCTTGAACAATAAACAGTTCTCTTTAGAGGCTTGCCCTTGACAAGGGAGTCCGAACTGAGAACGGTCCGCCTCAGTCTCTTCATTCGAATCCACTTTGGGAATCCACTAATTATTTTCAGTACTTTGTAGAACTTCGGTAAATTACAATATGTACATAAGCTCTCTACATCATTTAAAGAGCTGAAAGCTGAATGACCAGCACACCCGAGGAATGGTATACTGGTTGGAAAGTTGTGGCCACAGGTGGTTTGCTCGGAGTGGTTGAAAAGAGATTGAACTCTATCTGCATTGGATCTTACTGCCTCCTTGTGAGGTGTTGATGAGTGCAGATCTGGCCCACCCAACTGGATGAAGCCCTAGAGAGGAGAAGAAGTAGGGATGAGTTGTGGTGTTGATGCTTTGAGAGTCGGAAAATGGGATTCGAAGGCAGCAGATGGTTTACAGATTCACTTTGAGATTTACAGCCTCAGCCTTTGGTTTTGCTTTAGGAGCATTTTCTTGTAGGCACTATTTTCACAGATTTCAAGGCCAACCAGAGAGGTATTTTATTTTTCCACGAACTGAGGAAAGCATTATTTATTTATTTCAGTGGTACTGAGAACTCTGTGTGTTGTGTTCATAAATGCTTTTCTCGTCTACCTATTTATTGATAGTCCTGTGGTATTTTCCCATTGCTCCTTCATATACATTTTTAGGATTCTATTTCCATGGCAGGGGATGGCCACATAAGCATGTGGCAGGTGATTAATTGTGTAGTAGAGGAAGAGATCTGTGTGCATACATATGTGTATCGTAATTAAAGGGGCCTATTCATTTATTTTCATTTGTCCTAAGAGCATAGACTACCCAGCTATCAAAACCACTGTTATTTGTTCACTATAATGGCCATCTTGCAGATCAACTCTATTCTATTAATTAATAAAATAATTATTTTTATTAATTTTATCGTGTTTCTATCATGTACCAGACTCTGGGGTAAAATAAACCTTCGGTGCTTAATGAGCATGACTGATGCAATTTCTGTCCTAATGAGATCGTTCATCTAAGAATTTGTTTAAAAAGGAAAGTCTTTCACATGGTTACCAATATTCATGGAATTTGAATAAAATAAATTGATAAATTCTTGGTAATTGGAAATGCCTTATCTGTGTGCCATCATATGTTTCCAGAGCAAGACCAGAGCATTTTTATGATGGAATTTGCATCTAATCAGTTTTTACAAACTAAAAATATACAGCCAACAACACATAATCTAACTATGTGGTTTTAGGAAGTTGTGAGCAAATGAGCAAATGGTAGTATGCCTTACTTCATACTAATACTTTCTCTGAAAAATACAAAAGTAAAATTTGGTTATTAGTCATTACTGTTTTTTGAAAGACAGTTAATAATTGCTTTTTCTAACCTTTGAATTGAACTACCTATTTTACTTGCATTAGATTGGTTCTGCAACTTTTGGTCCCATTTATGATCTGTGAATGCAAGATTAGAGAATGTGCTTAACGTCATATGGGAGCATTTCATCCACTGAAGTAAACATTGGTGATAGAAGATGTTTGCCTCTAAACAATAATGCATCATAGCATGTACAAATTTATATTGCTGTTTGCTTTTGAAAAATGCCACAACTGTCTCTTACCCTAAGTCCCACATTTCCCTTTTATCTAGTAATGTCTACAAATAGACGGGTTTGTCTAGAGTGTCTACAAATAGACGGGTTTGCTCTAAACTCTTAGCTATCACTTTCATAGCTGGAGTAGCCTTTTAAAAAGCCAGGGATCGGGGCACCTGGGTGGCTCAGTTGGTTAAGCGACTGCCTTCAGCTCAGGTCATGATCCCGGGGTCCTGGGATCGAGTCCCGCATCGGGCTCCTTGCTCTGCGGGGAGCCTGCTGCTCCCTCTCCCACTCCCCCTGCTTGTGTTCCCTCTCTCGCTGTGTCTCTCTCTGTCAAATAAATAAATAAAATCTTAA